CACCCAATTAGCGCCTTCCTTACGTCCACCCTGCGCCCAGTTAGTGCCTTCCTTCCACCCACCCTGCTCTCCATTAACGCCTTCCTTCCACCCACCCTGTGCCCCTTTAGCACCTAGCTTCTGTCCACCCTGCACCCAATTAGCGCTTTCCTTACATCCACCCTGCGCCCAGTTAGTGCCTTCCTTCCGCCCACCCTGCGCTACATTACCGCCTTCCTTCCGCCCACCCTGTGCCCCGTTAGCACCTTCCTTCCGCCCCACCCTGCGCCCTGTTAGCGCTTAGCTTCCACCCTCTCTGCATCCCGTTAGCGCCTAGCTTCCGCCACACTGCACCCAATTAGCGCCTTCCTTCTGCCCACCCTGCGCTCCATTAGCGCCTTCCTTCTGCCCACCCTGCACCCCGTTAGCACCTAGCTTCTGTCCACCCTGCGCCCGTTAGCACCTAGTTTCCGCCCACCCTGCACCCAATTAGCGCCTTCCTTCTGCCCACCCTGTGCTCCATTAGCGCCTTCCTTCTGCCCACCCTGCACCCCGTTAGCACCTAGCTTCCGCCCACCCTGCATTCCATTAGCGCCTTACTTTCGCCCACCCTGCGCCCAATTAGCGCCTTCCTTTCGCCACCCTGCGCCCAATTAGCACCTTCCTTCCGCCCACCCTGTGTCTTGTAAGCGCCTTCCTTCTGGCCACCCTGCCCTGCACCCCATTAGCGCCTAGTTTCCGTCCACCCTGCGCCCAATTGTCGCCTTCCTTCCGCCCACCCTGCGCTCCATTAATGTCTTCCTTCCGCCAACCCTGCCCCCCATTAGCACCTAGCTTCTTTCCACCCTGCACCCCATTAGCGCCTTCCTTACGTCCACCCTGCGCCCAGTTAGTGCCTTCCTTCCGCCCAACCTGCGCTCCATTAGCGCCTTCCTTCCGCCCACCCTGTGCCCCGTTAGCACCTTCCTTCCGCCCACCCTGTGCCCTGTTAGCGCTTAGCTTCCACCCACTCTGCATCCCGTTAGCGCCTAGCTTCCGCCCACCATGCGCCCCGTTAGCACCTAGTTTCCGTCCACCCTGCGCCCAATTAGCACCTTCCTTCCGTCAATCCTGCACCCAATTAGCGCCTTCCTTCTGCCCACCCTGCACTCCATTAGCGCCTTCCTTCCGCCCACCCTGTGCCCCATTAGCGCTTTCCTTCTGCCCATTCTGCGCCCCGTTAGCACCTAGCTTTCGCCCACCCTGCGTCCCTTTAGCACCTAGCTTCCGCCCACCTTGCACCGTTAGCGCCTAGCTTCCGACCACCCTGCACCCATTAGCTCCTTCCTTCAGCCCACCCTGCGCTCTGTTAGCGCTTAGCTTCCGCCCACCCTGTGCCCTGTTAGCACCTAGTTTCCGTCCACCCTGCATCCAATTAGCGCCTTCCTTCTGCCCACCCTGCGCCCCATTAGCGCCTTCCTTCCGCCCACCCTGCGCCCCATTAGCACCTAGCTTCCGACCACCCTACGTTCCATTAACGCCTTCCTTTCGCCCACCCTGCACCCAATTAGCACCTTCCTTTCGCCCCCACTCTGCGCCCAATTAGTGCCTTCCTTCCGCCCACCCTGCGCTCCATTAGCGCCTTCCTTTCTGCCCACCCTGCGCCCAATTAGCACCTTCCTTTCGCCCACCCTGTGCCCTTGTAAGCGCCTTCCTTCCGCCACCCTGCGCTCCATTAACGCCTTCCTTCCGCCCACCCTGCGCCCAATTAGCACCTTCCTTCCGCCCACCCTGCGCTCCATTAGTGCCTTCCTTCCACCCACCCTGCGCTCCATTAACGCCTTCCTTCCGCCCACCCTGCGCCCCGTTAGCACCTAGCTTGTCCACCCTGCACCCAATTAGCGCCTTCCTTACGTCCACCCTGCGCCCAGTTAGTGCCTTCCTTCCACCCACCCTGTGCTCCATTAACGCCTTCCTTCTGCCCACCCTGTGCCCCGTTAGCACCTAGCTTCTGCCCACCCTGTACCCAATTAGCGCTTTCCTTACATCCACCCTGCGCCCAGTTAGTGCCTTCCTTCCGCCCACCCTGTGCTCCATTAGCGCCTTCCTTCTGCCCACCCTGTGCCCCGTTAGCACCTTCCTTCCGCCCACCCTGCGCTCTGTTAGCGCTTAGCTTCCACCCACTCTGTACCCAATTAGCGCCTTCCTTCTGCCCACCCTGCGCTCCATTAGCGCCTTCCTTCTGCCCACCCTGCACCCCGTTAGCACCTAGCTTCTGTCCACCCTGCGCCCGTTAGCACCTTCCTTCAGCCCACCCTGCGCCTGTTAGCGCTTAGCTTCCGTCCACCCTGCACCCAATTAGCGCCTTCCTTCTGCCCACCCTGCGCCCATTAGCGCCTTCCTTCCGCCCACCCTGCGCCCCATTAGCACCTAGCTTCCGCCCACCCTACGTTCCATTAACGCCTTCCTTTCGCCCACCCTGCACCCAATTAGCACCTTCCTTTCGCCCCCCCACCCTGCGCCCAATTAGTGCACCTTCCTTCCGCCCACCCTGCGCTCCATTAGCGCCTTCCTTCTGCCCACCCTGCGCCCAATTAGCACCTTCCTTTCGCCCACCCTGTGTCTTGTAAGCGCCTTCCTTCCGCCCACCCTGCGCTCCATTAACGCCTTTCCTTCCGCCCACCCTGCGCCCAATTAGCACCTTCCTTCCGCCCACCCTGCCCCATTAGTGCCTTCCTTCCACCCACCCTGCGCTCCAGTTAGCGCCTTCCTTCCGCCCACCCTGCACCCGTTAGCACCTAGCTTATGTCCACCCTGCACCCAATTAGCGCCTTCCTTACGTCCACCCTGCGCCCAGTTAGTGCCTTCCTTCCACCCACCCTGCGCTCCATTAACGCCTTCCTTCTGCCCACCCTGTGCCCCGTTAGCACCTAGCTTCGTCCACCCTGTACCCAATTAGCGCTTTCCTTACATCCACCCTGCGCCCAGTTAGCGCCTTCCTTCTGCCCACCCTGCACCCCGTTAGCACCTAGCTTCTGTCCACCCTGCGCCCGTTAGCACCTAGTTTCCGCCCCCACCCTGCACCCAATTAGCGCCTTCCTTCTGCCCACCCTGCGCTCCATTAGCGCCTTCCTTCCGCCCACCCTGCACCCCGTTAGCACCTAGCTTCCGCCCACCGTGCATTCCATTAGCGCCTTACTTTCGCCCACCCTGCGCCCAATTAGCGCCTTCCTTTCGCCACCCTGCGCCCAATTAGCACCTTCCTTCCGCCCACCCTGTGTCTTGTTAGCGCCTTCCTTCTGGCCACCCTGCCCTGCACCCCATAGTGCCTAGTTTCCGTCCACCCTGTGCCCAATTGTCGCCTTCCTTCCGCCCACCCTGCGCTCCATTAATGTGCCCCCCTTCCTTCCGCCCACCCTGCCCCCCATTAGCACCTAGCTTCTTTCCACCCTGCACCCCATTAGCGCCTTCCTTACGCCCACCCTGCGCCCAGTTAGCGCCTTCCTTCTTCGCCCAACCTGCGCTCCATTAGCGCCTTCCTTCCGCCCACCCTGTGCCCCGTTAGCACCTTCCTTCCGCCCACCCTGTGCCCTGTTAGCGCTTAGCTTCCACCCACTCTGCATCCCGTTAGCGCCTAGCTTCCGCCCACCATGCGCCCCCGTTAGCGCCTAGTTTCCGTCCACCCTGCACCCAATTAGCGCCTTCCTTCTGCCCACCCTGCGCCCCATTAGCTCCTTCCTTCCGCCCCACCCTGCGCCCCATTAGCGCCTAGCTTCTGCCGACCACCCTACGTTCCATTAGCGCCTAGCTTCCGCCCACCCTGCACCCGTTAGCTCCTTCCTTCAGCCCACCCTGCGCTCTGTTAGCGCTTAGCTTCCGTCCACCCTGCACCCAATTAGCGCCTTCCTTCTCGCCCACACTGCGCCCCATTAGCGCCTTCCTTCCTCGCACCCTGCACCCATTAGCACCTAGCTTCCGACCACCCTACGTTCCATTAGCGCCTTCCTTTCGCCCACCCTGCACCCAATTAGCACCTTCCTTTCGCCCCCACCCTGCGCCCAATTAGTGCCTTCCTTCCGCCCACCCTGCGCTCCATTAGCGCCTTCCTTCTGCCACCCTGCGCCCAATTAGCACCTTCCTTTCGCCCACCCTGTGTCTTGTAAGCGCCTTCCTTCCGGCCACCCTGCGCTCCATTAGCGCCTTCCTTCTGCCCACCCTGCGTCTTGTTAATGCCTTCCTTCCACCCACCCTGCTCTCCGTTAGCACCTAGCTTCCGCCCACCCTGCACCTGTTAGCGCCTTCCTTCAGCCCACCCTGCATCTTGTTAGTGCCTTCCTTCCGCCCACCCTGCGCTCCATTAGCGCCTTCCTTCCGCCCACCCTGCGCTCCATTAGCGCCTTCCTTCCGCCCACTCTGCGCTCCATTAGCGCCTTCCTTGCGCCCAATTAGCGCCTACTTTCTCCCTACAGCATTCCATCCAGCTTCTCTCTTTGTAGCTGACAAACCGCGCAAACCACATGTAGACCTGGTGCACCGCCCCAGAGGGCTTTTAGCAAATCAGGAAGCGGCAAGGAATCTCCGCCCATATTCAATTCTAGGGGCAGTTGTCCGGCCCTAGAGGTGGTGGGCGAGGTTTGTCAGCTATAGTGAGAGAGAAGCGACAGAGGGCGCTAGAGGCACAAATTACCCTCGGCCTGTTCTTTTTGGGTGGCTGGGCCTACACACTAAGGTAGGGGCCTGGAGCTGCAGCTGCAATCACTCCTCCATTAATCCGGCCCTGCCCACATGTGACATGTCTGACACAGCTCTGCACTTAGTAGGCGGTGCTACCTTTCAAGTAGAACAGGAGGATGGGCGGGACGGGGCTGTGCAGACAGGTAAGCTCCGCCCAGTGTCAGGATAAAAGCCGAGGGGCAGGCTCGGGTCGTGCAGAGTTGTGTCAGTCTTGAGTTCTTGCTTCAACAGTGATTGGACGGAACCGAGGAGTCCGAGCCACACCACCAATCATCATCACCTCTACTGATCCCGCTCATCGAGTCACCATGAGCAGCCAGATCCGCCAGAACTACCACCAGGAGAGCGAGGCTGGAGTCAACCGCATCGTCAATCTCGAGCTGCAGGCTTCCTACACCTACCAGTCCTTGGTGAGACACGCCGGGTGGAGGCGGAATCCTCTATCCCAGCATTGGTAGTAGAACGCCATTCATTCCGACATTGCATGTTTAAACGTAAATGAGATTTGTAAGTGCTGACATCCTACAGTGGCCAATGGCGTTCTCCGATGTGTTTTCCTAGAACACGTGTGCAGCCATCCGGACATACATGGTTACATCTTCTATACAGCCAGGCAGGTGATATTATAGTGCCATGGTACGACCCTGACTGTACAGATGGCTTTTTAACCACTTCAAGTCTGGACAATTGTGCGGTCATGCAACCCTGTACCCATATGAATTTTTTTTTTTTTTTTTTGACAACTTTTTTTGTGGTATTTAGTCACCAGTGGGCCTTATTTTTTTGCTATATAAATGAGTCTAAATTTTTTTTTTTAAAGCTTCTTATAAAATTTTGCAGATATTTTCTTCATAAATCTTGGACAAGTGGTATTCACTTTTTTTTTTTTTTTTTTTTTTTTTTTTTTTTTAGTAAAATACTGTTCCAAATTCAAATTTTTCTCATTTACCTAAATTGATGTAAATAAGTCGGCATATTTCTCATCTATTAAGAGTACAATTCACATTTTATTGAACAAACCTCCTAATAACTGGATTTTTTTTTAAACCTATAACACTTCCAATGCACTGTTCCAAATTATTACGCACAGTAAGCTTTTTTTCAAAACACTTTATAGGTTGTAAAGAACTGAAAATTGTCATTTGTTGTGTTTGCAGCATATTTACTGAAATCAAAAGCTATGTCAAACTTTTAACCACATTTTACCTTTTTTAAACATTTTAACAGGTCACGTTACATTGTAACATAGGACCCCTTATTTGATAGCAGCTTCACAAGTCTTGCATCCATTGAACTTGTGAGTTTTTGGACAGTTTCTGTTTGCAAGATGTCAGAATAGCCTCCCAGAGCTGTGGTTTGGATGTAAACTGCCTCCCACCCTCAGATCATTTGCTTGAGGATGCTCCAAAGGTTCTCAATTGAGGTCAGGGGAGGATGGAGGCCACACCATGACTTTCTCTCCTTTTATCCCCATAACAGCCATTGATGCAGAGGTATTCTTTGCAGCATGAGATGGTGCATTTGTCATGCATGAAGATGATTTTATTACGGAAAGCATAGTTCTTCCTTCTGTACCAGGGAAGAAAGTGGTCAGTCATAAACTCCACATACTTTGCAGAGGTCATCTTTACACCTTCGGGGACCCTAAAGGTGCTGACCAGCTCTTTTCCCATGATTCCAGCCCAAAACATGACTCCACCACCGCCTTGCTAATGTTGCAGCCTTGTTGGAACAGGGTGGCCGTCCACTAACCATCCACTGGACCATCCAGGGTTGCACGGCATTCATCAGTGAACAGGACTGGTTTTGAAAATTAGTATTCATGTATTTTTCTGCCCAATGCAGCCGTTTCAGCTTTGCTAATGTCCGCTAACAAAGCTAGTGTAAACTGAGCCTAAAGGCTGTAAAAGCAATTATTTCTCCTTTGTCTGCATTCCTGCAGATATTGAGAAATACTATGCAAGCTGTGATTATTCACAGCTTTTCACATAGTACAAGGCTGTTGTGAATGGCCTTGTGCCATGTGACCTCTGATCATTCAGATTTCACATGTAGTAAGCAATGATATCAGGAAGTGACATCTTTACTACTATTCATGTGATCACTTATTGGCCAATCAGTGATCACATGAATTGGGACCTTGCACAGAGGTCCTGTACAGTGATCTGTCCGGAGGACACAGTGGGTACCGATCACAGTGCTGCGCACTCCCAGGGAGCACGCACAGGCAATGGATGCGGGGCGATGTTAAACATCCACCTGCATTGGCAGGTTAAAAACTTTAGACAATTGGGTGTGAAATCTGTCTGGTTTCCTTGGATAATTGTGTTCCTTCTGGGTTTTTTTTTTTTTTAAATAAAAACCAGAATGTGCTGAGTGTTCAGCTACTGCTGGATCACAGCACCTTAAACACTTCGGGCCAATCACACCAGTGCATTGATCTGTGTTTTAGGACCTCTGATAAACCATCATTTCTAATGTCTTATTCACACCAGAATGCTGTGCATGTATGTCAACGGATGTCAGCACACTACAATGGATGGAAACACACTTGGATTTTAGTGCAAGGCAGAGTGAATTGGCCCTTTACAAGCCTTCATTTCTCAGCCTGACAGCCTTCTCAGGGGTGCAGTGTACTCTGAATAATTTGCTGAAAATTATTCAAATGCCAAAACTGCAATGCTTGCCGGACACTTCAATTCCATTAAATTAACTAAGGGTGTTGGCATTATGCATAAGTCTGTAACTGTGTTGTTGTAGTAACCTAATTAATGCGGTCAAAATGGAAAACTTATGTAGGGTGACTTTTTTTTTTTTTTTTTTTTTGTTCATCCCCCCCCCCCCCCTCACTTCAGCCCTTGTGTCGGTGGCCATCAGGACAAATAGATGGTGAAGATCACCACTGGGGATAGTGTCAGGGCAATTAAAATCTGACTGGTTCAAACACTCTATTATCCTACATGGAATACACTTCCCTACTAAGTGAGCTGGAATAAAAAAGAAAATTCAAAGTTGCCTTGTAGTGAGCAGTCACGTTTCATGAAAACTGACTGGACAGTATCAGTAGGTAGTCTATTGTATAAGTAGAATACACATCCTCACTAAGTGTGCTGTAAAAAGTTTGGGCGCTTAAGCAAGCAGTTCAGTCCCACTTAATGAAAACTGACTAGACAGCGTTGGTGGTTCTAGTTTATCCTAAATAGAATAGCTAAGTGGGCTAGAGGAAAGAAAGTGGGACTGAAGCTGCAACCCATGGTGCCCCTGGTTGGTTCATGCTGACCCAACTGGTCAGCGTTGTGTAGTCTACCTATAACTGGTTTTGTGAAATGTATTGTGCTGGGTTTAGCACCTTCTTACAGATCTACATCTTAATCTTCTGTGCTTTAGGGTTTTTACTTTGATCGTGATGACATAGCATTGGCAAAGTTTTCAAAGTTCTTCCGAGAGCAATCTGAAAAGAAGCGAGATCAAGCTGAGGAGTTCCTAAAGTTCCAGAACAAGCGTGGAGGACGTATTGTGTTTCAAGATATCAAGGTAGCCTAACCTCTTCTACAGTGTGCTGGTAATTGTACAGTATGTGGGTCAGATGGTGATGGGGAACAATTCTATGGTTGGAGCAAGTTGCAGTAACTTGGGGTCTTTGCTCCACTGGAGCACATGTAGGTCAAAGTGAACATCCCTTTCCTACTTGCCTCATGTTTCTGTGCTACTCTGCCCAAGGACAAGGAGTGCTGGGAAGTGAGTGGGGAAGTTGTGACCCTCTCTTCCTGACTCATAACATTAGTTTGGGGCATCTGCCATGAAAGCCAGTGTCTGATGCTCCTAGCAGTGCTATTCATGGACAAGGTGAAGGAAAATCTGTTAACTAGAGTTCTTAAATGCAAACTCTCCACTGTCTAACTTCTGCTATAGCTGCTGATATTCCATCACCTAAGCCTCCTTATTGGCTTCACCTGTGATTTCCCCATTATAGAAGGGGAATGGATCTGGAATAGCCATTACAAAGAATGTTTGTGGCTTGCTGTGCAAGAAACTGACATCTGGGTACCTGGATCCTACTTTTTACATCTGTTTATAATCCTTAATCAGTTTAGCCACAATTACTTTTTATAAAGGTATTTATTGTACAAATGTTGTAAGATTTCTAATTTTGTTTCAGAAGCCAGAGACTGATGAATGGGGTAATGGAACAAGCGCTATGGAACATGCTCTGAAACTGGAGAAAAATGTAAACCAGGCATTGCTGGAACTCCATAAAATTTCCACAGAGCATGCTGACCCTCATGTAAGTTGAAGGGTTCTGTTCTATGGGGGGGGGTTCCTTCACTTTGAAACGCACCACTTTGTTGGAGTCTTAAGACAAAGCAAGGGGAAGACCTTTGTCATGGGAACAACTCTCTGGAAGAGGGTATGGGGTGTTTTTTTTTTTTTTTTTTTTTTTTTTTGTTTCTTGAAATTGCTGAAAAGAATCCCTCTCAGCAGTCAAAAGAACAAGTGTGCTAATTTGGAAGACTTCAATTTGCCTGTTCTACTAGCAACACTTATCTTCCCCATTGCTTTTTGGTAATGATGATCACCAGGATACATTGCAAAGGTCAGGGCACAGTGACAAGATCCCAATATTATAACCCTTCCTTAATCAATCCAAAACAAAATGGGTTTGATGCAATTTAAGCCTAGGAGCATACTAAATTTGGTCAGGGCATCAGTTGAATTGACTGACAAACTCTTATCTGATTTGCAGAATTTTCCTGCTTCTACAAATTTTTGTAAAATGTTGCAGCTTTAGCAGTTGTCCCAAGCATATATATGGGTAAATAACTTAACCTGGAAAGTTTGCAGATCAGGAGAGCCAAAACTTATCTGGACACCTGTTCTAGGCTAGTCACCTGAAGTATTGCCTGTTTCAGGGGTGGTTAAGAAGGGTAAATGACCAAGTCTGTTCTGTTTTCTGACAGATGTGTGACTTCTTGGAGTCTGAATTCCTGGAGAAGGAGGTGAAACTGATGAAAAAGCTGGGAGATCACCTTACAAACCTGAGACGTGTGAAGGCAGCAGAGAATGGCATGGGAGAATACCTCTTTGATAAGTTGACCCTGGGTGAGGATAGTGACTGAGCTTCCTGCTCCTACTAATGGCCAACAGATGTTATATCTGTGCTAGAGCTCTTGTGCTAAAATCAAAGGGTTTGTTTTGGGGTGAATAAATGCACTCTGAAATATTAATAAAACATATTAGCATCAATGTCTTGTGTAGTGTAAGTCATTTGAGATGCTGATACAAATTTTACAATTATGGCTTAAAGTAAACCTGTTCCTACCCTAGAGATGTAGGTACCAGAGCTACATTGCAAACCTTGGGCTATTCACACCAGTGTGCTACAGCACTATCCAACACTGCCAAAATGACTAAATGTTCAATTAATTTTGGTCCATTGTGCTACTTGGGCAGCATATTCAAATGTGGGTTGCCGCAAAGTGCAAGTGTTAACAATTTGATGAATATGGGCCCTTACATGAGTACTACAAATCCTTAAACTTTTTTTTCTTTGCTTTCACATGTATTGGGTTTATTTTTTTCATTGGCCAAAATTAAATTAAAACTTGTTCTGCCAATTGAAATGGGCACTCAGGTACTAAATGTGCTTAGGCGCATTTAACCAAGTTTTGGGGTTTTTGTTTTTTTTTAATCCCCAAAAGTCCCTCTCCTGAACATGATTCTTCTGCATCGAGGAAAGCTTTGTCTGTAAACTCTGCTGCGCCAAAACATCTCTGAAAGCTCGTGTGCATGTACATAGGCTTTTACTTGAGATGCTTTCAGGGGCTTGAGTAAAATGCCAAAAACATGAGTTGGGAGCAGCAGTGTGCATGAACCCTTGGAGGACATCTTATCTTCCTCCTTGACCACCAGTGCAAGGTGACAAGACAATTCAGGGTGTCTACAGTTTTCTTTAGAAAATGTTACACAAAAATAGGGTATAGTTAAAAAAACACAGCTGGGCTCAAAACAGTTGCTTGTACTACCGTATTTTTCGCCGTATAAGACGACGCACCTAGGTTTTGGAGGCAGAAAACAGGAAAAAAAAAATTCTGAACTAATGGACTGCAGACACAGCACAGGGATGACCAGAGACTGCGGACAGCACAGATGACTGCTGACCTGTGGGGAGCGGGTACCTGAGTTTGACAGGTACCCGCTCTTACTTCCGCAGAGTTTTTGTTTGATCTTACCTGTTCCTCGATCCAGCCGCGCGCTGTCTTCCCGGCTTCTGTAACGGCGCTTGGCATGACAGCCGGGTGCCCAGTGCGCATGAGCAAGAAGCACTTGCGCTTTGTGATTGGTCCGGCGGCTTCTGGGATCTGTCATGTGTCCCAGGTACCGCCTTACCATTCACCGCTTCTTGCGCGTGCGCACTTGGCACCCAGCTGTCATGCCCAGTGCCCACACTACAGAAGCCGGGAAGACAGCATGCCGCTGGATAGAGGAACAGGTAAGGTCCCGCTGCAGAGCTGAGCGACCGGCCCGGTATTCTGACACGGCCGCGGTGGAAATACTGGACCGGCCGCTTCTTATTCGCCTTATAAGACGCACTGACACTTCCCCCAGTTTTGGGAAAGAAAAAGTGCATCTTATACAGTGAAAAATACGGTATTTCTTTTTTTGCTGCACTACTGACAGTTCCTCATGCCAGTGGAGGATGGCTCACTTTCAGCATGAGATTGTGACCTGATCTGGCTGAAGTTGGTATATTTAAATCTTGTGTAATGTAACCACATCTTGCAGGCAAGTGTAATACCTCCTGTAAAACTTTTTTCTCCTTTGGGAGTGTGCATGTGATCAGCATAGAGCCAATCAGCATTGTCCAGACAGGTCAAGGGTTCTGCATCCTAGAGCAGGAAAACCTCTAGACTTTAACCAGTGCTCAGCTGATGAGAAGGTATTTAGTAGTTTATTGATAAAATTGCATTTGTGTACTGTGGGAGACCAGATATAGTGAATGCAGGGTCCTGGGTTTAACACTTTAAGGCAATTACCTCTACAACACGTCAACATATTCCTGAGTATTTCCATACACAGGTAAAACTCCTCTGCCACAAAGTTTATTGCCATTTTTATATTCCAGCCATAGTTTATACAAAAAATGCTATATATTGTACAAAAAATGCTATATATTGTACATAAAATAAATTCCTGAAACTAACAGATCTAAAACTCTGCCTGCTTCATTGTATAAAAAAAAATACTATTCTGCTGAAACAGTGGAATGCTTGTTAAAAGTGACAGGGCTTTGCTCCCATCCTTGTGGCACAGCTATGACCTGTCTCAGCCACACCACTGTTGTAGAAGATCTGCAAAGTGCAGTAACCAATAACAATCAGTTCTCTGTTACAATAGCACAAAGGCAATGGTGTGGTGAGTTTGGATTGGTAGAGATGGTCCCTGCCATTTGTTTGCCTGTACTAGGACTCTGGTTTCAAGCCAATCTGTAGATCTAACATGTCTCCAACACAAACTGTTGGCTTGAGATAAGGGATCCTTTGATGCATGGGGTGCCTCATGCTGCAAAAAACTGTCACTCTCTGCTTGGTGGGATGCAGGTTGACAGGCTCCTATATTTATGCTTTACTTTTTTTGTAAGTAAAAGGAGGGGGCAGCCAATGCTAGACTGGACAGAAGATATGTGGGGTCTCTTTACAAAATAAGATTGCCAGACCCTGTTGTAGACAGAGTACAATAGATGTCCCAGGTACTACGGAGGAAGAACCAAAGACACTGCATAGATTATGGTCTCTCCCTTGACCAAAGACAGCCCCTTGAGATGAGGTATTTAACCACCCGCCATATAGTAAAATGGTGGACACAAGGTGGTTCTCTCGTTCTGGGAGGACATATGACCTCCCATTCTAACAGCACATGTGCGGCTCTGGGAGCACGTGGCAATTAATAGTGCGCTGTGTCCCTCGGACACAGCTGATCACTGGGAAGGGCTGAAGATGGCAGCTCAGTCATGTGATCAGCTGTGTCCAATCAATTGATCACATGTAAACAGGGAAATGGCAGTTATCAGCATTTCTCTCCCCACTCGCTGACAGCTCTTGAGGAGAGCCGGTAATCGGCATTCCTCGGAGGGGACATAGCACTGATCAGTGTGCTCTGATCTGTGTAGCCCCAGCAGTGCCACCTGTCAGTGTCAATCAGTGCTCATCAATGCCACCTGCCAGTGTCCATCTGAGCTGCCTTTTAGTGCCACCTAACAGTGCCATGAGTGCTGCCTTTCAGTGCCCATCAGTGATGCCTATCAATGCCCACCAGTGCCACCTATCAGTGTCCCTCAGTGCAGCCTCATTAGCGCACATCAGTGAAGGAGAAAAATCGCTTATTTACAACTAAAAATGTTGTTCAAAATTTCTGTGATTTTTGGTTTAAGATAAAATAAAAACCCTGAGGTGATTAAATACCACCAAAATAAATCTGTCACAAACAAAGATGATGATTTCATATGGGTACAGTGTTGCATGACTGCACAATTGTCATTCAAAGTGCAACAGCGCTGGAAATTGGGCAGGAAGGGAGTATAAGTGCCCTGTAGGCTAGTGGTTAATGGAGGATATGATCATGTATATAAATGGTCTATAGTTTAACTTGGTGCAAAATTATCCACTTTTAGGTCATTACAAAGGACAAGGGGGGGGGAACTACTGGCATCTGGAGGAAAGGTTTAACCTCCACATACAGAATGGTTTCTATACAGTCAGAGCTGTGGAATCGATTCCCTCAGTGACTAGTTCTGGCCAGCTTAGCTGATCATTAAAAGGAAGCTGGATGCATTCCTAAAACCATATAACTGGCTTTTACCATTTATACGTAATGGCACCAGAGTGTTGATCCAAGGAATAGCCAAATGCCTTAGGGCAGGAGTCTCCACACTTTCTAAGCAAAGGACCAGTTTATTGTCCCTCAGACTTTAGGGGGGCTGTACTGTAGCCATTGGGAGAAGAAAATGTCCTGGCATCAGTCGGAGTAAACGGTGCCTCATCATTTGTGTCATTGGGAGGAATTTTTCCCCACTGAGGTACAAGTCCTGTCAATGAAACCATCAGTATCATTGGGAGGAAATTTTCCCCATTGGTGTCATTGGGATGAATTGTGCAACTTTGTAGGTGTCAGAGGAAATATTGCCCCAAGGGCCAGACAAAAGCAACCAAGATTACATCCAGCTTCCAGGCCACTATTTTTCTCCAGTTTGAGCAGATGACTTTGCTTTTCATGGGGTTTTTCTGCTTTCCTCTGGCTCAGTTGTGGATAAAGGGTTCTGTATTTGGAGGTTTTTAATAGTGGTGTGTGGGGGTTTTTTTTTTCTACTGGTTGAAATAGATGGACTTGCTTTCTTCAACCTGACTACCTCTGCAAACTGATATGGTGAAGTGAATTTTGTATTTTTTATTTTTGCAATGGAAAGTTAAATTCAGGCTTTTTTTTTTTTTTTTTTTTTTTTTTTAAAGGAAAAATGTAATACAATATAACATTTTAAATTATATCCATCGCAAGTGCAATATGTGGGTAGCTTTTCTTAACTGCTTCCTGAAAGCTAGTTGACTGCCATTCTATGGATTCAATATTTTTCAGAACCTCTGATCAGTTGTGTGTATCAGCATACTTGTTCCAGGCCAGTAAAGCAAAGTACTGCAAGCATAAAGGCAGCATGATAGGCAAACTAGATTTTTTAAAAAAGGAAATAGAAGTTCCTACATCTGCCAGGGGCTGTAGAAGCACCATTTTATAGTTACTAAACTGCTTTAGGGCTGCATACATTTACATTGATTGACAATGCATATATACAGTTGTGCTCACAAATTTACATACTGCTGGCAGAATTTGCAAAACAGCCATTTCTGCTGCACTAATTCCATAACAATTGTTAATGGCACCCCAAGCATCTAGAAATGCGGGTGCTTTCAGGGACACCAAACCCCATGATGTTGCAGTACGATGCGGTTTGGTGCTGTTCGATTTTAAAAGTCCTGCCATAATTTTTGCACATTCCAGCGTGTTCGACAGCCCGTATAAATTATGGGTTATCCAAAACTTGCCACATGGGAGCACTGTACCCAGTAAA